AATAGTATTGGTGATAAAAAACAATTGTTTTTCACTATGTTTTTTTTCCCTAGGGGTTCTTTTCCTAGGGTTTTTTTTTCCTAAGGGTTTTTTTCCGGACCCCCCCCGTGTGAATGGTCACGGGTGGTAATCGTACAATACGTGTTCTGACGTACACGATCAATCATAAACCTTGTCCGTGTAATCATACCAGGTAACTCAATGCCACCAAGCTGAATAGCAGGATATCAAATGAAACGTCACGATCTTTCAACCAATGACTATTTCCCAATGATAATTCACGTGATATCTGACGAGATGAGGTGATTCCATGTCTTCATGTTTCTGGTGATATTGTCACTACTATACAATTTCACTGACTCGCACAATTCTCGAAGAGTTATCTTTCTCATAATATAAGTTGAATATACTGTAAAAGAATTAATTATTCACTGGGTTTTAATTTTGCTTATTTCGCTGACTGGAAAATGCGCTTAATTAAAACCCAGTGAATATGTAAAATTTAGCATAGAACACATTATCTAAATGATAGAACCCTGAATTTATAACTCACTTAATATGCCTGAATTGGTAAATCAGTGAAATTTAAACCCAGTGAAATTTAGTCATTTTACAGTAATACTCATGACTGACATACTGTAAAACATGTTGAAAAAGCGAATACAGTGACTATTTTAGCGAATTGTGGTAAAATGACGTAATAGCGAAATGTTGATTTAGCGAATCTCTCTTGTCTTTGTTGATTTCCTGTTTCACAATACTCGTTTGTCACCTACCAAAACAAATGCACAGTTATCACCTCCATAGAAACAGAGAACAACTGTCAAGAGTTATAAGGAAGCGCTCCAGATTATTACGCTTTCTGTGTTGTTTACGAAGTGTGTGTGTGGAGAAAAAGACGTTGTTTGGCCACCATTTTGAATTTATAATGAAGTCATTAGAGACATTAAATTAGCGAATTGGTTCCCTCGCTAAATTCGCTAAAAAGACATGCTCGCGAAAAGACATGTTTCACAGTATATAAACGTATATCACAGTCACTTGGGG